AATAGTACCATAAGTGCAACCAGATATTCAAGCATATATGATTACATAAATAAGTCGAAACTGTATAGAAATTATGTGCGGGCCACTGACACAGATCATTACACTAACTGCAATATTAGGTACAACCATATATTCATATTCACTAACTCCAACTTTTGTTGGCTGGGCTAGATATGGAACCCAAACTTTATATGAAATTCCTTGTGATACTAATATACCTGCTTTGTATTTGAAGCATGTTGTTACTAATCATTTCCAAACAGTTAAGTCTATTAATATTTCTTAAGCATTGATTGTTGATGGAAGTCAGTATGGTGAATGGGAGGTCAATTATCTTAAAAACATTGGCTGTTTAATGTGACTTATATTTCCTGCTAGTGTAATGTGAATGTGTGAGTGTGTGTAAAAACTATTGGTGCATATCCACCCAGTATTGCTCAGTACGAAGAGATTTAACTCAATTCAGGAAGTGATATTAATCAATGTATAACAGTGAATATAGAGTACTTGTTGCTATAATTCACAGGGAGAGGGTGAGCAAAAGGTTTACTGTTCAATAAGGTTTAGCATTGATTCAAATTTGTGTGCCTCTCTTTTATGTAGGAGAGATGGTTAGGAAGGGACGAAGCTGTCATTATCAAATCTGGATCTTGTTTGTGGCTTGTACTACTGTAATAACAGGTGATTATGGATCTGGGCTTTGCTGAAAAATTTTGAAGTACTAACACGAGAAATTTTTGAGTAACATTACAATTTGTTATTATACATGTAGTTATTCAAGCAGTGATTCTGTATTTATAATAAATAATAATCATCATGCATGTTAATGCTGCCATCAATGCTGTGCGCATTACATAATTATATGTAAATGCTTGCTAGATGATGTTGCGCATAATGCTGCCATCAATGCTGTGTGCATTATTAAGTTATTGCTCGCTGGCTGATGTTACGCATTTGAATGATGCTGCCATCAATGCTGTGCGCATATTAAATGCTTGCCAGCTGATGTTGTGCATCTTTTATTGATGATTGTTCTAGCATGTGCATGTTCTCATTAACAAAAAATTTTGTTTGCACATTAGAAACTCTTCATGTACACAATGTTATTTTATATTAAGCAGGTCATGAAAGTATCTTAACTCAGGATAGCATTAGTAAGCAATATGACATGCATGCCTAAAATACATGCATACACATATATGTAAGATCCCATCAGAAACTTTGTAAATCCTACCATGATCATTATTAGTTAGTATGTCACATTCATACTTTTTACAGGTACTTGCTTTGCACAAGGACTACATTGTGGTAGTGAATATTGAGGTTTGATGTGATTGGTAATAAAGTTTGTTCACCATTACTGTTTGTACCATTGTTATTAGCCTGTGAGTTTACATTGATTGCTTTTGATATGTTTCTGTTACTATGCTTTACAGGTAATTATAGCTGGAAATGATTTGCTGATTTAGCAATACTCTTGCTTGATATTGGAATGTGCAATATAATTAAAGGCAATTCTGTATTTAGATTGTTGTAACTAAATTCATTTATTCGTTTAATGTTTTGTTGCAGCTCCTTGATTAGTAGTTGTATCACGTAGTAGGAGTTGCCAGTTTACATCTGTATAGGTTTCATTATTATTGTAGTCTTAGCAATGGAATATGTAATTAGATGGAGAGTATTGTGAGATATCTTATGTGTCTTGTTATAGGTTATGATTCTAGCCCAGGTTATATATTGTACATTTTTTAATGATCATATCATTAATAATGCCCAAAGTAAGTACTTTCTTGACTGAATATAAATGAATGCTTGCCAATGCATCTTTTGTTGTGTGCATGCATATTCTCATTAGCAATACAAAAATAATCATTGCTTGCTGTTGAGGATGTTCTTTCTTACTTTGCTTAAAGATATTTTCAGCTGCAAATGATTTAATGATTCTGCAATAAGGTGTAATGTAATACTTTCATGGCATGGTAAATGTCTAAGGCTATTGTCTGATTTCATTTGTGGTGACTAAATTAATTTCTAATAAATAATCATCATTGTAACATTATTATTTGTTGTAGCTATTTGATCAGTGGTGCTTTCAGACTGGATGAGGCGCTAGTTTCCATCTGCACAGGTTTCATATTGTCATTGTCTTAGGAATTGAATGCACAGTAAGATAGAATATTGTGAGATTCCATAGTTTTTTATTATTGTGATGTAGATCATGATCCAAGGCTATAATTCTTTTTTATGATTAATATTGATCATCTGATTATGGCCACGGTATGTATTCTTTATTCTTTAATATAATTAAGTAATGTATCACATGTATTTGTGGCCATAATTGAGAAATAGTACCTTATGTCAGATAGGATAATTGGTCTTTATAGCCTAAAAGATACAAGTTCCTGAGCTCCAGTTATCATAAAATTACTCCAGAGGATGCAAAAAGTTACTATGTAACTTTTAGAGACAAAAGGTTGACGAACAGAGTAGTTACAGGTTAATATCTTTCATTATAAATATGAATTTAAAAATCTGCCATAAGGTACATTTGTCAATTATGGTCACATTTTTGTATTGCAGGAAGATTCAAGCTCAAGTATTAAATTGTTTTGCATTGTTGAACAAACACTAATTTTAATCATTTCTATAATTTCTGTTTTGGCTTTACACTTTAAGATACTTGACTTTTTTCAAAAGATTTTAATTTAACAAAAGTTAACTTTATACTTGTACATATTATATAATAATCTAATAAAAGTTATAGTTCTTTGTTGCGGTATTGTTGCTGTTCCTCCTGCCCCTGCCCCTGCCTCTTGGCCTGGCTCTCGGAAGATTGTTGTACTATAGTAAAATGGAATAGAAAGGTGTTAATTGGTACCTATATAAACTTCAGATCATAAGTAAAATAGTCTTACAATTTCTTGATTGATTTGGCATAACAGCCATATGATGAGCTGCCTCTGCTTTTGCAGAGCAGCAACATCAAGAGGGCCTGATGAGCTGCCTCTGCTTTTGCAGAGCAGCAACATCAAGAGGGTTTGCAGCTGCATGAAGTGCTAGAGCAGCAGGGTGAAGTGATATAGGACATCCATCCACTGGTGGCGGACCTCCAGCCATCAGTGAAGAACCTCCAGCGACAGGTGGAGGACCACCAGCCAGACGTCGAGGACCTCCATTCACTGGTGGAGGACCTCCAGCCTCTGGTGGAAGACCACCAGCAACTAGTGGAGGGCCTCCAGCTACTGGAGGTGGCGGAGGAATTGGTGGTGGTGGTGGAAGAATACCAGCATCATCTCTTGGTGGTAATGGCAGGCCTTTGGCGGGATGTGGTGGAGGCCCTAGAACTACTGGTGGTGATGGAGAAGGAACTTGTGATGCTCATCGTAATCCATAAACTATAAGAAAATATAATGATAGCTAATGTAAGACTGTAACTTAACAGACTTGCTGCTTTTTCACAAAAACGATATCAAAGCATAACTGCGGAAAAGTTTGAGTCTACTTTGAAAAATTGTGAGCTGTCAGGGGGAAAGTGGCAACTGAAGCTCATTGTAAACGTAAATAGTTTTAGAACCGGACATAGATCTTAGTAATCACTGTAAATGGGAACTAATGATTAATAATTGAGCTAGGCTATGAATATAATTAATGATTCAAAAATTCAAAAATAAGGATTGTATGAAAACTGTTTTTATAAATAAAAAAAATTATATTAAATAAGAAAAGGTAGGGTTGTCAAAAAATAAAAGAAACAAGGGGGTTGAGTTCAACCATAATAATAATTAATAGTTCAATTAATAATAATAAACGTTAATTAATAAATAATAATAATTCATAAAAATAGTACAAAGATTTCAAACCCTACTTTGCAGAAAATGATATTAGGCAGAAATAGAATTTTAATAATAATAATGCCTTTGTGCCTATTGATTGCTCTACTACATTTCTATGATGTAAATTAATTATCTTGTTAAATATAAATTAAACTTTTCAGCTAGTATAGATAGCATCCATTACTGTCATGACAATTAAAACATCTAAATTATAGATAATTATTTGGCTATTGCATTTTTTAATGTTTGTGATTCAGTACAATATCTAAAAATTAAAATATTAATGT